CCCCCCCCCCCCCCCCCCCCCATGGCTGAAATGCTGGTTCTTGATGTTCCTGGTAGCTGGAGAGTGAATTTTGTGTTTCCTTGTTGGAAATCCCAGGGACAGGAGGTGCAGGGGCTGGGGGACTTTTGGGTGGAAGGGTAGAAGCTCATTCCTCTGAAGATGGCACTTCCAACTGAAAACTGTATTTTGTTGCACCTGTGTGAGAATTACTCAGTTTGTTGTCTTTCCTATCCTGCTTATGAAAATAAAAAGAAACTTGGTGTTAGGATGAAGAGGTCATGGAAGATACAAATTAATTTAATTAATCACTTTACTGCAAATTTTCTCTCATTGTAGGTGAGTAGTGTAGTTTTGGATATAAATTCATCAAATGGCAGTGATTTTTTAAAATTTTATTTTATTTGTATTTCTTGAAGATTCAAGCTCTTTAGAAGAGGTTATTTTGTGTACTCATTACTCTTAATGCTTTACTGAGTTTACTGAAGCTGTTGTTTAATTGAAACCTCTGTGGTACAGGGGAGAATTGGTGTGACTCAAAGTTGAAAAATTTGCTTTTTTACCTTTCCCCCCACCTTTTTTAATAGAGAGAAACAATCAAAAGGAATTTACATGTAATTCAAATGAAACCTTTTAAACAGTCAACATTTCTATGTCATTCAAACAAAACATCTTAATTCAATTAACAATGCAGCATCATTAGGGTGGGGCAGGATTTTTTTTGTTCCTACAAGGGAAACTCCTTGGAACAGCACAAAAACTTGGGATTGCAAACCCTGTGTGCTGTTTGTAGTTCCTCTGTTCCCTTTGGGCTCACGGAACGAGGTCTTTTCGCTCAGGTTCTTGCAGAATCCGAGCCATCGGGTCCAAGTCTTTTTGCTTTTAACTGAGCTTCTTTTCCTAAGCTCTCCCTCCTTGTCCTGGGAAGAGTGCTGTGTGTTGCACACTCGATGAATTTATTGCTTGTGATTGTTGCTGGGGAGGGCATGAGGGGTTGGAGTGAATTTTGGGATGCAGGCTGGGATCTCCAGCTGGGTCAGCACCACCTTGGGGTGGGTGGTGAAGGGCAGCCTCCATCAGTTGTTGCGTGCTGCAAAACCAAAACTGAGGCTTCTCTTGTTATTTAACAAAAAACCCACATCAGCCCGCTGCCTGAGCACGGCTGGCAGCTTGTCAGCCTCTCTGGGGAGGAGCAGAACCTGGCTGATGTCCCTGTGCTGTGGGGGTGCATCCCTCCAGGTGGAGTTGAGGTGCAGGGATGGAGGTTTCCACCCCTGCAGGGACAGGGCTGAGTTCTCCCTGGCTGCCCCATGTCCCACTAAAACTCACTTCAGGCTTAACAGGTCTGGGCTTTGCATCTTCTCTGTGTGTGTGGGTCCCTCCCTCCCCACTTCCCTCTCCCTAAAAAATGTAAAAGAACACATTTCATTCCTTATCCTTAATTTTGAAGGCTCGAACTCCAAATAAATGCAGACTTCTCACTGTTGCCTTTCTTTTTCTTTCTTTCTTTTCTCTTTTTCTTCCTTTTCTCTTAATCTCAGCCATCTGAAAAGGACTTTATGCCTTGTGCCTCCCTTTTGGGGTGCTCCCAAAATCCACTGGGTAACTCAAGGATATTTCCTTGTGCTCAGAGGCAGAACAGTGAGACTGGAGAGGCCTGGGTTGAATTCCCACTGACACTGGGTTGTCCTGTCACCTTAAGTGACATAAGTATGTGCCTCAGTTTCCCCCTTAATACAAAGCATTAACAACTGCCTGGCTGTGGAAAGCGGCTCCAGATCCCTGAATTGGAGTTTTTGGGGTTTATTTTCCACATTCTTGCTGCCAGGAGAATTTAATCTGCTCGGCAGAGTTTGATTGTTCCTGTTCTGCCCTGTTCTCTGTGGCCCTTGTGAGTCCTGCCAAAGCAAAATGAATGTCTGGGATCTGTTGCTGCTGTGGGGTGAAACCAGGAGCTCTTCCCTGTGTGCCCCAGTCCCCCCTTGCAAGCCCCCCAAACCTACAATGATCTCCCCCCTTGTCCTAGGGAGTCAAAGTCCTTTGTTCACTGCTAAACCCTGCTCTCCTGCAAAGAGCTGCTGTTGTGCCATCTGTCTCTTTATGAATTTTTTAGTAGACTGGATGTTTGTGGGGAGTCAGTAACTTAAAGTGCACTATCCCAGCCATTTGACAAGT